TAGTGAATTGAAAAACTTATTTAAAAGCAAAACCAAAAAACCAGCGTTGAATGTAATGAAACGCCATTTTCTGGGTGAGTCCCGAAGGCTCCCCGGAGCTATCCCAGGCTGATATGCTAATGTCAGACTTTGGCATCAGTCATGTGTATGGAGTTCTTAGGCCTACCGGGGACCACGGCCAGAACCGGGCCCCCTCAGAGAGGCAAGGGGAGCAATGGCCTATAGAAGCCCCCGTGTAGTTGGAAGCATTCTATGTCTGCCATCGACCGGAACAGGCACCCAGAAAGGTAAGCGCCCCAAAACAAACCCCTATTCTGGTTAAAATTGCTACCTAAAACCGAACTAGTGGATAGAACTCCCCAACCGAAAACAAGCAAACTAGTGTGACGTCACACACTGCCGCGCCGCTGTCTGCGCAGCTCCCCCCTCCCCGGGAGGGGGAAGGGGGAGCCCCAGACCCCCCGTGCCGGCTACCCACACCTCAGTTCTTGAGGCTGGATGTCAAAAACGCGAAAAACCGCCGACCGGAGGGAGGGAGGGATGCCGGGGAGCCTCCGGGACTCACCCAGAAAATGGCGTTTCATTACATTCAACGCTGGTTTTCTGGGGGGAGCCCCGTCGGCTCCCCGGAGCTAACTACCCACAGACAGAAAAAGAGGGACTTACCCGGGAGGCGGTCGTCGCTCACCCCTCAACTCGAAGCCGAGACAACTGGCTGCAACCGCAGACCCAAAGCAACACAGGCCCGACGAGGCCCAGGGACATTCACAAGGTAACGAGCAGCCAGGACCCTGTTCGACCGCCAAAATCCCTGCGCCCGAATATCAGACCAAGACATATTCCCAAAGACGGCAGCAAGAGCCGCGAACTTACGAACGTCATGGGCACGGGGATAGACCGCAGGCTGGCTGGACCTAATAACCCTGCGGACGACCTGAGAGACCCGAACCCGCGAACAGGGAAGAAGGGAAACCGGATCAACCCACAGCGCGTCCCCGGACACAGAAGCTGTGGCGCGCAAATAACGGCAAAGCGCCGCAACCGGACACAAAACATGATGCACCCCCGAAACTAACACCACACGCAAAGCACAGTGCAGTAGCGACACCGGAGCCAGAGCACACGACCATCGCCTATAGCATCAGCCTCAAGAACTGAGGTGTGGGTAGCCGGCGCAGGGGGTCTGGGGCTCCCCCTTCCCCCTCCCGGGGAGGGGGGAGCTGCGCAGACAGCGGCGCGGCAGTGTGTGACGTCACACTAGTTTGCTTGTTTTCGGTTGGGGAGTTCTATCCACTAGTTCGGTTTTAGGTAGCAATTTTAACCAGAATAGGGGTTTGTTTTGGGGCGCTTACCTTTCTGGGTGCCTGTTCCGGTCGATGGCAGACATAGAATGCTTCCAACTACACGGGGGCTTCTATAGGCCATTGCTCCCCTTGCCTCTCTGAGGGGGCCCGGTTCTGGCCGTGGTCCCCGGTAGGCCTAAGAACTCCATACACATGACTGATGCCAAAGTCTGACATTAGCATATCAGCCTGGGATAGCTCCGGGAAGCCGACGGGGCTCCCCCCAGAAAGTACCTAATTTCATCTTCTTAGTTTCCTACACTGAGCTTTAAATTTGCTCTGTACCTAGTGTTACCCAATCTCCTAATTTTTATGTAGTATCAAACAACCTTATCATTGTGTTCATTGCTGTCTTCTTTTATGTGCTAGCCATATGGTGTATTGTGACTACCAATTTTTGTCAACTACCATTCAAGCTGTCATTGCAATCAATCTTATATTGTTTCTGCTGTATTGTGCCTACCAATTTTTGTCAACTACCATTCAAGCTGTCATTGCAATCAATCTTAGCTACTTATGTGCTTTAATATACTGTATCTACAATTTTCTCTCATCTTCTTTTTTTCATTCCATGTAACTGTTATCATTTTTTTGTCAATAAATTTTGCAAGTATTTACCTCCTTAAAATTTTCTTAGATTAACCCTTAAAGTGCGCATCACTTCATATGAAGTGTAAATCGTTTTACCAGTCAACTGCGCTTCACTTCATATGAAGTGTATGGGTACCGCGCACGATTTGAATGGCCCGCGGTGTAGCTGGGGGTCCCATACGCTGCCCAGGGGCTCTAGTAAACAGCGGCCATTTTGAAAAAAAATCCAGCTCACGCTCCGATGGCATGGGAGGCCTCAGTTTAGCGAGAGTCACCATGGCGAGCGCACGGTCAAACGCCTCACGAGCACGCATCACTCAGTCCCTCACCCCAGAGCAAATAGCCCACGAATTATTCTCTGAAGGTGAAGAAAGTGTGTTTGACGATTCAGACAACGATGAGGATTATACACAGTTGTCGGGAGATAGTAGCAGCAGCAGTGAAAGTGAGAATGACCGCCATGCCATGGCGAGGCCTATACGCTCTCCCATGCCTCCTCGCCCATTTTCTACCCCAATTCTACCACGACCTCACAGTTCCTGTGGATATTTTCTGTTTGAGGGTGACGAGTCAGAGGGAGGTGACTCCTTTTCTGGGTTTAGTGACTCAGATCAAAGTTTTATTCAGCCTGTGGCTGGTACCAGTGGTGTAACTGGGCGAGAAATTGTCGCGTCAGCAGCATCTCGCCCAGCCAAGCGCCACCGCATGGCACCACATGAGGCACCAAGACCCTCGTGTTCACGTGCACCCACCTCACGTGCACGTAGCCGCCGTGCTTCTCGCAGACGGTATTCAGCTCCTGGTCGCCGGTATGCATCGCTTCCTCGCCGTCTTTCCTCTGCATCTCGCAGGACGCCTGGTGTACTTGAGTGGAGTGATGGTGACGATTTTATTCCTAATATTCCTCACTTTGACGATAAAGATGTAGGGATTACAAACCTTTTCCCTAATCAAGGTGAGGACATGGCTGAGATGGAATATTTTACAGCATTCTATGATGAACCACTCATGGAATACATTGTACACCAAACGAACCTGCATGCTGCTTACCTGATTGAGAGGGAAATCACAGAATTTTCACGACTGCAGCGTTGGAAAAATACCACAGTGGCGGAAATGTATGTGTTTTTGGCACTCTGTTTGTTGATGAAGCACTGTCACAAACATGCAATAAATGACTATTGGAGCAAGGACAAGACAATACCAACACCTTTATTCGGGAAATATATGTCACGAGACAGGTTTCAGATACTCCTCAGGTGTCTACATTTTGGAAGTGTTCAGGACCGAACACCTGATGATAGACTGTGGCGAGTGAGGCACTACATGAACGATGTTATTGGAAAATTCAGAGATTTTTACGTACCAGCACAGAAGCTGGTGGTTGATGAATCTCTCATACTTTTCAAGGGACGTGTTCCATTCAAACAGTACATTCCCTCAAAACGAAACCGATTTGGCCTGAAATTTTTTGTTCTTTGTGATTGTGAGACAGGATACGTGTTACACATGATTCTGTACTCGGCTAGTGATGTAGACATTCCCGGTAACGACGAACATGGATTCTCGGGGAGTGTAGTGAAGACCATCATGGCTCCGTGGATGAACAAGGGACACATTTTATACACAGATAATTACTATACAAGTCCCTTGCTAGCTCGGTTCTTGCTAGAAAATAGAACCGGATTGGTTGGTACAGTAAAGCCACAACGAAGGGAAATGCCTGTGTTTGACAACGACATTGCAGTTGGTGAGTGTCAGAGAAGGAAAAGTGATAACATTCTGTCAGTTCGGTGGAAAGACAAAAGAGAGGTGAACTTGTTGACAACAATTCATGATGGAACAATGGTGAACAGTGGGAAAGTGAGCCATAAAACAAACGCACCACTATATAAGCCAGACTGTGTTTTAGACTATAATATCAACATGCGGTTGATTGATAAATCAGACATGATGATTGGCACTGCAGAGTGTGTGCGGAAGACATGTAGGTGGACGAAAAAAGTGTTCTTCCATCTTGTGGACATGAGCATGCTGAACTGTTTCAACATGTACCTTGTGAGAACTGGACGTAAGCCCACTTTCCGTGACTTTGTATTTGATGCTGCAATACAGTTATTAGGAAAGTTTGCAAAAGATGTCCCAGGTATTCAGCGGCCCATCATAAACCCACTGTTGCAGCATGCTGGTACTCCACGCCTCGCTCACACTGAAGGCTTCCTAGCACACAAACTTAAGTATTTGCCACCTGGTGTGAAGCGTGCAATAACCCAACGTGATTGCTTGGTGTGTAAAACAACGACACGTAGAGACAAGAAACGGAAGCTTGTGCAAACATGGTGTGAAACGTGTGGTATCCCATTATGTGCTGTCGACTGCTTCAATGACTACCACAGTCTAGAAATCTTCTAAGTGTGCTTCAAAGTGTGTATAGCGTGTGCGAGTGTGTAAATATGTAAACATATAAGCAGATAGCGTGTGCGTGTGTGTAAATATATACAAATATAAGCAGAACATACAATATAATAGACTGTAATGACATATTATATTGCCGTAATTGAAAACATTTGTGTGCGCCTGTGTATACTCAAATATGCAACAATTATTGATACAAAATATGTTCAAACAGTATTTGAAACACAATTAGTGAAAAAAAATTAGATAAAATGCGCTTAGGCATTGTAAATAAATAGCGCGAAAATATATTTGTGGCAACTCTGGCTGTTTGAGGACCGCGCGCAACACCTCCCGGGCGTGTACTGCATGAGCGAACATGCAGATTGTGACGTCATCACAGAGCTTCTCGGCTCTATTGCAACAAAAGTAAGTACAATAGAATTTTTTTTTTATTTTTCCCGTGATCAGTGAACAGATTAGCAAAAAAAAAAATTTTTTTTTTTTTTCAAAATGACATGCGCCTGTGCGGATGGCAGGATATTAGACCCCGAGCATGTTAAGGGTTAAGGGTTAACAATTAGATTTGTTGAATACAAACAAACAATTGTTGGACATAACATTTGGTATAGTACATTTTTGCTCAAGAGAAACTCACTAAGAAATACTCACTGTGTCACCACATGAGTGGCAGTGCTAAGAGTAGTAGTGATTGACCCACCATGAAGGCGCAGGGACAGCGCTGCAAGCTCCTGGTCTTCATAATTGTCCTGAAATGCAGAGCTCATCAAATTTTGTACATAAAACTACACCTTTACTCTAAATATTTTCCAATACAAGTTGGACAGATCATACAGCAGAACCTGCAACATTCACCCACAAGCAAGTTACAAGATAATAAAACAAACAGCAGTAAAGAATAAAGTATCCCCAGTGTCAGACTGAATTCATGTAAAGTTTAAGACAACATTGCAGGAACTGCTGTTGCAGGGAATATTTTCAAATGTTCCTGCAAGATTATTAGCAGGGAAATGCTTCAATAGCTTAACAACTGTGCTGCGCCAATCAAGAAAACTCGGTAGGGAGAAATTGCGCCAACCGAGAAAGCACCTTTTGAATATTTCGTACCCATTCAAAACATGTGCGAGAGAAGGTTGTGTACGAAATGGACACTTGGGACCTATAGTGAGAGTCAGCCAACTTGGAAAAAATTCCCAGAATGCTCTAGAGCTGCCGGCTGGGTTAGTACTGAGTGAGCAACCATGGGAGGCGCATGCCCCTCTGGCTCCCAAACACGTATCCGACGTGGTGTTGAAAGATCGTTCTCTGTCGGTGAAATTCAGACCTTATTGTTTGAAGAACGTAAGGGTCATGATATTGACCAAGCTGGATGCAACAAGGATCTAACACAAAGGTCGGATACAAGTGATACAGCACCGACGAGGACTATATAGCAAGCGTATCCAGTTGCAGCTCTGAGCGCCACCCATGCCATCTCCAATTTTTATAGATGATACTTATATGAATCTTTTTCTGGGTTCAGTGATGATGCATCTAATACAAGTAGCATAGATGAACAGTGTTAGCGGCTTCCATGGTGGTATTTTCCATAGGTATTTTCAAGATTAACTGAATCTCTTCCAGTGAGGGACCTTACAAAGCAAATTTTTTTCAAAACTACCTTACAAATTTATCTTTTCTTAAAATCTTTTCAAGACTACCTTATGCTGCACAATCTTGGGCTACATATGAACTACAGGTACTAAAGCCAAGGGTGTACGTGAGTGCGTTATTTGCAAGCACACAGAACGAAGAAACAGAAAGCAAAAATTTATCTGTACCTGGTGCAAAATGATGTACCTGTCCATGATACACGCTGCGTATCATGGACAGATTCGATGATTATCACTCACTTCCGAAGTACTGAGTATTTAATACAATGTGTTATTGTTTATTGTGTGAAACTGTACATATTGTAATTTGAATGAATTTTTAACAAGTAATAATGCAACAATAAACATTTATTGTGGACGCATTACTGACACATGTATCACAGTTCCATGGAACATGATGAACGTTCTACTGTATACATATTGTAAAGGGCACAAATATGCATCATATACGATAAACAAATAAAATTGCATTGGAAATACATAGAACAAATTATTGAAAATATATTTATGGCAACTCGCGGTGCTTGAATGGCGCACGTGACTGCCTCTGGGAGCTTCATGCAAGGGCGACCAGTCTGTAATGCCCCCTTCTCCACGTCCCCACAGCCAAAGTAAGTGAATTTTTTTAGTTTTTTACATAAACGTGTTCAGGGAATGGAATTTATCATTTTACAAAGATCAAAATATTTTTTGTGAACACTTGATTCTATGCCCACAGGGAGGAATGTTACAATAAACTCGGTGCATCACAGTGGTTAAATTGGTGTTAATACTCATTTTAAACTAACTGACACCCATTTGCAATTAAAGGGTGAGCAGGCAGCTGCCTCCCAGTTAACCTCTGAGCTGTATCCCTGTTCATCCACTGTACTGCGCAATGCACCTTGAGGCACTCGATGGATGATGTGCAACGTGCCTCAGGGATCTTATAGGTATAACGTATCATTCAAAACTGGCGTGCGGTGACATGGGTACGAAATGGATGCCCGAGGGCTCCAGTAATCGACCGCCATTTTGAAAAAAAATCCCAGGGCCGTGGGGAGCCTCAATTTCAAGGAAGCAACCATGTCTGAGTCATCATCTACGAGCTCCCGGTCCACGGTGGTCGAGGAAAACGATTCTCTGAGGACGAAATACGCGACAGTGTTTGATGATGGAGCGATGGATGATGATTAGAGTACGATCCAGAGAAAGACCTAACACAGAGGTCTGACACGAGTGAGGGGGAGAATGAGGTGGAAGAGGTCGCGAGTGTGTACAGTACACGCATCTCACCTGGCCTGCCTCGCAGCCCTGTGTGAACACCGGTAGAGTCACCACCACTATGTGTGTCATCTGATGCGAGTTTATACAGCAATAGTACACGTGATGAATCATTTTCGGGCTTCAGTGACATAGGCTCTGATACAAGCAGTGTTGACGAACCAAGTACGAGCAGCGATGGTGTTACTAGGTTGGATTTTGCTGCCCCAGCAACACACCGATGCAAGCGGCAGCACGTCTTGTGGCCAGAGAACAATGACGACAGTGTTCCCTCAACATCTGGTGTTCATGGTAGGCCTACACTACACTGAACACTATCATCTCCTGGCACACCTATACGCAGCTCTAGCACAAGTTGACGGAGCGGTGTTTTTGGTGCTCGTGGTGGTGTTATCTTGAGGTTATCTTCAGATGATTTCGAGGCTTAGCGTCCCCACGGCCCGGTCCTCGACCAGGCTTCCTTTTTGTTAAACATCCCCAGGAAGTAGCCCGTAGCAGCTGTCTAACTCTCGGGTACCTATTTACTGCTAGGTAACAGGGGCAGCAGGGTGAAAGAAACATTTTGTCCATTTATCTCCACCTCCACCGAGGATCGAACCCGGAACCTCAGAACTACGAATCCGAAGCGATGTCCACCCAGCTGTCAGGCGCCAGCTGAGAAATCACTGGGCGCCACAGTGTTGGCCCTGGTGCTGGAGCCAAAACCAAACCCACGGTGTACATGTATGGGAGGATTATGAGACTTGGTATCCACAAATTCCAATATTTGATGGTACCGATGTTGGTGTGACACCGTTATTCCCCTATACTGGTGATGATATAGCTGAAATTGACTATTTATTGCATATTTTGATAAGGAATTCATGAATCATCTCAGTATTTTACCTGCCTCTCAAATGACACGATAGAAAGACACGACAAATGAGGAAATGTATGTGTTTTAGCGTTGAGCATGATGATTAACCACTGGACTGTGCCAACCGCGAAAACCCGGTCGGTGGGAAACTGCGCCTACCGAGAAAACTCTTTGTATGAAATGGATTCTTAGGACTTCCAGGCAGCCATCTAGGAAAAAATTCCCAGAATGTCTTAGGGCTGCTGGGTGGGTTAGTACTGAGTGAGCAACTATGGATGGCGCACGCACCTCTGGCTCTCAAACACCCGTCCGGCGCGGTGTTGAAAGATTGCGCACTGTCTGTGAAATTCAAACCTTATTGTTTGAAGAACATAAGGGTCATGATATTGGTGAAGCTAGGCGCAATAAGGACCTAACACACAGGTCGGATGCAGGCGATACAGCACCTATGAAGACGATACAGTGAGCGTATCCAGTTGTAGCTCTGAGCACCACCCGTGCCTACCTATGCCATCTCCAATTTATGTAGATGATACATAGATGAATCATTTTCTGCATTTTCTGCAAGATGATGCATCTGACACAAGTAGCATAGATGAACAGTGTTAGCGGCTTCCATGGTGGTGTTTTCCATAGATATTTTCGGCTGGCTGAATCTCTTCCAGCATGCCTGAATCTCTTCCTGTGTGGGACCTTACAAAGCGATCTTTTCAAGACTACCTTACAAATTCATCTTTTCCTATAATCTTTTCAATACTACCTTATTCTTTACAAGCTTGGTTACATACCATCTACAAGTACTAAAGCCAAGGGTATACGTGAGTGCGTTATTTGCAAGCACACAGAACGAAGAAACAGTAAGCGAAAATCTATCTGAACCTGGTGCAACGAGAGCGAAGTCGCGTTGTGTACAATGGACTACTTCGTTGATTATTACTCCAAAGTACTGAGTGTGTAATACAGTGTGTTACTGTGTAAATAGTGTGTGAAACTGAACATATTGTAATTTTAGTGTAGTTTTAACAAGTAATATTGTGACAATAAACATTTATTGTGAACACATTACTGACACATGTATCACAGTTCCATGGACCATTATGAACGTTCTACTTTATATATATATTGTAAAGGACACAAATATGCATCATATATGATAAAAAACCAGTGTTGAATGTAATGAAACGCCATTTTCTGGGTGAGCCCCTAAGACTTCCTGGAGCTTATCGGGCTAATGTATGTTATATTAGACTGGGACATTAGCTATGGAATTCAGACCTACCAGGGACCAGCATCAGAACCTGGCCCCTTCAGAGAGGTTTCTAAGAGCAATGGCCTTGGAAAACCCCCTTGTGGCTGGAAGGTTTTCCTTATCTGCCATCGAACGAGGTTAGACACCCAGAAAGGTAGGCATAACAAAACAAACCCCACATGGTAAGAAACTACAACAAAAAAACGAACAGAGAGGTAGAAACTCCCTACAATCCCAAGGAAACAAGCAAACATCACACTTTACTGCCGCGCTGCTCGTCTGCGCAGCTCTCTCTCCCCAAGAGGGAGGGAGGGGGGCATGGACCTCACTGTGCCGGCTGCCTAGCATCAGTTCGGAAGCTAAGCTTCAACCAACGCGAAAAAAACTGCCGACCGGTGGGAGGGAGGGTTGCCAGGGAGCCTCTGGGGCTCACCCAGAAAATGGCATTTCACTACATTCAACGCTGGTTTTCTGTGGGGAGCCCCTAACGGCTTCCTGGAGCTACATACCCAAAGAGAAGGAATATAGGGACTTACCCGGGAGGCAGCCGATACAAACTCCTCAACGCGAAGTCAAGACAACTGGCTGCAACCTGCGACCCAAAGCAACACAAGAATGCTCAGGAGCCAGCACGTTCACCAAATAACGGGCGGCCAGAACTCTGTTCAATCTCCAAAATCCACGTGCCCCAATATGACCCAGGACATGTTACTGAACACGGCAGCAAAA